AGTAGATTTCAAACCAAAACTAATTAAGAGAGACAAAGATGGTCACTACATCCTTGTGAAGGGAACAGTCCAAGAGGAAGAGATGACAATCCTAATTATATATGTACTGCTACATTTTAAAGTCACTTTAAAATCTTTTTAGTGGTGAACATCTGAGAGTCAATTTTCAGATGTACTTGACAAGGCATAGAAACAGCTGTTTAGAAATTTTAAGTTTATTTTAATAAAAGGTCTTATTTATATCTACATAAAATATATTTATAAGGGAACAAATATTTTAAATATAAATAAATATGCTTATTTATATTTATGTGAATATGAGTTTAAATTAAAAACATATAAATCAAAATTGCATTTTATTTTCCTATCAAGATATTATTCCTTATAATATATTTGCAAATCCCTAGCAACCCAGGATACCTGTACCCTAACACCTTGAGTGAGTGGTCAAATTGAAGACCACGCAGTTTTACCTGTCATTATATGAAATATTTTCTCTAGCTCCTAAAAAGCAAGTATGTTTCTAGTAGGATAACTCTGAATTATGTTTCATCCTTATCAATACTTTTAAACATAAATTGTTTAATATGCTTAAAAATGGACACCTGCTTATCTTGGCATCTCCCTTCTTAAGTATCTTTAGTAAGCACTCTAAATTTAGGGTCATGTTCTAATTTCTCAACCACACATTTAGGTCTGAAATGATCTTGCCTCTGTAAAACTTTCCAGTCTGATCATTGGTCATGTTCTTCTTCCATATTCTTCACTCCAGGCTACCTGAAGCTCCCAGAGCTTGATGAACCTTCTCACAACTCTGAGTAGAATAACTTCTCCCTCACCTTATTTGCCTAGAAATCAATTCCTAGTCATCTAAGTCTATATTGGAACATCACCTGCCTTTCAAGGGGTTGAATTAGGCTTTTGTGTACCAGCTATTTGTTTGTAATAAAGCTGCAACATAGCCAACAAAGATTCTTGTCTATCTCTAGAGTTAAGGGTGAGTTCCTTGAACATAAGACCTGTGTCTTGTATACTTCTATAACTTTAATTGCAGCTACAGTGTCTGACAGGTGGTAGGACCTCAAGATATGACTGCTAAATGAATACCCTAACAAATGAATGTTGCTAAAGCCAAATCACCTTATTTTTTATCCTGTTTGTTTTCTTAAACAGAACCAACCCCAAATGTGCCTGAATTTTGGACATTGTTAGTTGAAGGTAAATTCATACAATTAGGTGGGAAAATGTTTTGGTTTTCTAAAATCTTGTGTAAGAAAGACAAGCTCAGTCTAAATATTTCTAATACTAAGAATCAAAGTCAATGTCTGGCTATCACATGTAATAGCAAATTTAATAATAGCCTAGAAAGATGATAAACTCATGGTTTCTTATTCTTCTTCACAAGAAGTTTTACTTTCCTACAAACATTAAAATCTAGTTCAATTTAATTTAGGGTTAAAAATTTTAAATAAGGTTCATGTCCAATACAAGTCCTTCTTTGTGTTTGGAACAGTATATGTACACATAAATACACAGAGACACATGTATAAATGAAAAATATCAAAATATATGCATACATAAAAATAATATGTATTGTAAATACGTAAGCATGTTGTACAATATGTACCTGCCAATCTATGCATGTATGTGTGAGCATACTAGCATTCATAGATGTACATGCATATAAATGTCATGTGTCATATATATGTGCATTATATATATGTCATATTTAGTCCTCATTGCGTATTTTTAATTTGTATTCTGTATCACCTCTCTAAGATCTCTTTGTCATCCAAAAATCAAGGATTGTGACAACCGTAGGTCATTTGTGGACCCTGACAGAACTTCAAAAGTTGCCTGACTCACATAAAGTCATACTTTGAGTTGGGCCCCAAATGTCATGTTAAAGTGCTGGTTGATCTTCTTGAATGCAAGAAGACTGTATGGTGCCACATGGAGAAAATCCATGTGCTAGAAAAGCTTGGTTCAGGCATAAGTTATACCTGCTCTTTACCATACTGAACATGATAATTACCATGAATAATGAGAACTGTGCACATTATACACACATTTATATACATACAATAATTTTCCCAGGTGATTGTTTGCCAGGTGATCATTTGCTAAAACACCAATTTATTGTTTTAACAGCTATAAATGGAACGGAAGTGGGCATGGATGATAAAGATCAATTATTTCAACCGATTCCAAGTAGAACAAAGTACTTCAATTGATAGATACATAATACTCACATTTTAGTGGCTGCAAGGTGATACTATTTTCCCTAGTACAGGGTAGTGTATGTAGGCAGGTATCCTGGTGGCCAACATTGTATCAGAGGGAACATTTATATTTTAGGAGAGTCGCAGTTCCTGAGCATTCTTCTCCAGTTACCATTTTACAGGTGACTATTATCATCTTCCTATTTCATAGCTTCTGTCCCTCAGATAAGCCAAATAGTGATATGTACAATGCAGTCTTTTTAAAATAGGCTTTATTTTTAGTGTAGTTTTAGGTTTAAAGAAAATTTACTAGAAAGTACAAAGAGTTCCCACATCCAACTTGCTTCAGTTTCCCCTGTTAACACCTTCATTAGTGTCACATGTGTTAAGATTCATGAAACAATATTGATGTGTTATTGTTAACTACAGGCCATAATTTACTTTAGGCTTAACTCTTTGTACTGTATCTTACTTTGGGTTTTGACAAATACAAAATGTCATTTATCTACCATCATAGTCTCATACAAAAATTTCAAGGCCCTGATGTCTCCTCTTCCCTCCCCCAACTCATCCCCCATTCCTTTCTCCCCCTGAATCCCTGGCAACCACTGGTCATATTAATTTCTCTATAGTTTTGCCTTTTTAAGAATGTCATATAGTTGGAATAAATTTGAACAATAATGAATAAAGCTGATATAAATATCTGTGTGCAATTTTTTTGTGGACATGTTTTCTACTCTTGGGTAAATACTTTGGAGCAAAATTGCTGGAATATGTGGTAAGACTAAACTACCAAACTGATTTTGAAGGATATACTATTTTACATTCTCACCAGTAAGGAATCTGAGTGCTGCTGAATACAGTTTTCATTAATGGATTAATGACATTTACAAAAGAACTCCTTTGAATGCAAACTTTTGTGACAAGACATGGTGATATCCTTCCAAAATTTTGTACTACAAATAAATGATTGAAAGTAAAATAGATGTATCTGGTGATATATTTAAGACCTATCACTTCAGTTCTGCACTGAATTATTTGACAAATGTAGCCACTTGCCGTATGGTGCATCAAGAAAATGAAAGCCTTTTGTTTAGAAAATTATATACAGGAATGACTAATGTTGAGTCATTTTAGAAATATTTCGTGATTTCTCTTGTTTAAATTTTAAGTGATTAAATTTGGCTTGATTGATTTTCTGTCATTGAGGAAATATTGTTTGTTGGGTATTCTGGTGCTTTAGCTACATTTTAGGTCCATCCTCAAGAGCAACTCCATGAAGTGAGTATTTCTTCCATTTTACAGATAAAGAAGCTGAGCCTAGAGCAAGAGCCTGGAAGAGCCTGAATTAGCTTTTCTGTAACATTAATCAATTAGGAATTCCAAACTGTTTTATGGTTCTGACCATGATCTTGATAAACATAGCATTGGAATACCTCTTTATAAAGACTCTTTTAGGAGGTAGAAAGCAATTTAAGTGAACAGTCCATTTTAACATCATTTGTTTATTCTCAAAGTATTTCATCTCAATGCCAGCAAAAGGCATTGGAAACTTTACACATTTTATTCCATTTGGTCTAAAATCACATTTTGACAATTATAATTTTTAAAAATCAGAAAACATAGACATGGAAATGTCATTGCTTATTACCTAAGTATTACCTGGAGAGTAGGCAAGAACATGTGGAATGGGGTGGGAGGACCTAGAGAAAGGGGGAAAATGACAGCATGCTCATCTAAAGTCTAATTAAAAGTTTATTAAGTCAGATGTATATTCACAAACATGTAAAATCTGACAGTAATGATGCATTTTCATCAATGGATTTAATGAAAAGTTTCATGATGTCTCTTGATCCAGACATGATTTTATGACTTATTATTGAAAGTTTTAAAAGGTTTTTTTGTAATGTCAGGCACACTAGGTTTAAACTACTCACTAATAAAATGTCAAACAGCATTTCAGCCTCTTGGGAAAAGCCTCAGTACACCTAATCTTTCAGCTTAAGAGAAAATCGGGCCATCACCACAACAGAACACATACCTTTCTCTCCCACAGGTCTAGTTCCTTATGTGGAAGTTAACCGTTTTTATAGTAATCATTTCAAAAATAATAGATTATTAAAAGTGGTTCCTAGTTAATTCAGGGAGAATGTCTGCTATTCTTTCCTTTCTCTATTATTTGGAGACAGAGTCTTGCCAAGGTGTCAGGCTGTACCCAGCTATCTGGTAATGTGGGTTAAATCAGATTTTTGCCACTTCCTGGCTATGTCCCATGGGAAAACCCATAAACCTCTGTGATCTTGTAAAATTAAGCCAAGGACAGTTGCTCCCAGATTGCCTGAAAGGTTAAAGAGAAAAGGGCACTTACCCTGGCAGTAAGTAGCCTCCCTCCCTTGGGTGTGAGCAGTGAGTCCTACAGATGGTGGTGGCTTCTCTGCAGCAGCTCTGCCGTCCTTACTCCTGCAGGAAGCATGCAGGATACACTATTTTCTATGGAGTCTTCTTTCTTTCTTCTCAGGCTCTGATGTGAACACTTCGTCTATAATTAAAAAAGAAGAAAACCAATCAGACCTGCAGCATCTCAAACTCACATTAATTCTGGGCATCACATTGATGACCCTCATCATTCTTGTCACTCTCGTGGCTTTCTGTGTTGCCACTCTCTTCAAACTGAAGAACCTGAGGTAAGTCCATCAGCCTTTGCAGTTCCACAATTCATGTGTGATATCCAGCTCTCTCTCTTCTGTCTTAGAATATGTGACCACTGAATAATATATCTGTAAGTATTTATTTTGACTCCATTTCCCCTATTCAGCAGAAGTATGGGGCCATTTCTCAAGGAATATCCTACTTGACCTTTTCTCCAATATTTTAAATAGTCATTTACAGGTAGAAATAATAGTCAGTTGGGAAGGATATAGACAGTCTAGATGATGCTTGTGGACATTTTCGTCTTAATAGCATATCTATCTGCCTAGAGCCTAACACTTTGATAAGGCAAGCCTTGCCTGAGATCTTCAGAAATTCTCTCTCTCTCTCTCTCCTCTCTCTCATTGTGGATTGAACTCAGGGCCTTCGTACTGAGGTACTTCGTACTGAGGTACATCCCCCTCCCTTTTTTTTATTTTGAGGCAAGGTGTCACTAAATTTCTAAGTTCCCCAGCCTGGGTCTGAAGTTGTAATGCTCCTGTTTCATTTTCCTAATGTTCTGGGATTTTAGGCCTGTGACTTGGCCCTTTTGCTTTATTCTTTTTATAAAATTATTAAATTCAACTCAAACTTGAGTAAGAAGACTGTTGATTTAAAATATCTATAAGTATGAGATTACTTTGAAAAATCTTAACAAAATTAATGTTCACAGTTATCATTAATCACATTCTTTAATTGTACTGTTTGATGAATAATGTATTTCTCTGGTCAACTAAGTCTCCAATCCTAGGTATTTATTTCTAATTCTAGTTTATTTTACGTGAGTGTTATTAAATTTGTACTGTTATTGTAAACTTGTTTTTAGATTATAGCCTCAAGATCTGAAACATGTTCCATTCACAGAATATTAGGTATAATTAAATTACAATTAAAGAAAAACTACATTTACATATTAAGGTAACAAATACACTGGAAAGGATACGTTTATATTTTCATTTTCTGACTACTTTTCTGAGTAATAAAATACACAGCTGAAAACAACTCTTTGCTCATGTTTTCTTCTTTTTCAGTTCCAAAAGAAGTAAGAGCCAATACTCTGTCAACCCAGAGCTAGCTGCCCTTTCTTACTTCCACCCTTCCATAGGTGTATCAGACACCTCGTTTTCTAACAGTGCAGAGAGCAGCATGTGGGACACCAGTTCTTCAGATCTGAGAAAATCAACCTCAAGAAAGCTAAAATCTCAAAATACATCAGATTTGACTTCCACAGGCTCAGAGGACTCAGGTGTAAATGATCAGTTAGATTCCCTCATCAGTGAGGAATCAATTGAGGAAATCAGTATTGACAAATAGATGACTTTAATTTTTGTCAGGTATTAATGACATAATTTTGAAATTGCTTACATTTAAATGTTCTGGTGTCTTTAAAAGAGGACATATTTAATAAAAGTTATCTTCTTAAAAAAAGTTATCTTCTTTATAAAACTTATTTAAAGGAACATATACAATGAAATACAGTATAGAAAACATATCAAGTTAAAAATCAACCTCGCCAGTGACTTCTGAAAGTGACTCTAAGCTGGTTTATTTTTAAAGTGAGGATATATACATATTTAATTTTCAGGAGGGATTTCCAGGATGCTTGATACCACCTATGCCTTACCACAACTGACACCGTTACCATCAGTGCAAAAAAAGTACATCTGGCTCAAGTTTTATGGCCAAACAGTTGTGCCATCAAGAGTTAGAACCAAACTAATGGAAGAACCTGCTAGAAATCTTATGTTGTTTCAAGTCACAGGGCTGCTCTCACAGGGAAAATCGTAAGAAAATACAGATTTTTTCCATTTTGAACACATCCATAATGGTTTGAGATTACATGGTGATCATGAAGAAAAGAAAGGAAGCCGGGATCCCAGTAGGTAACTTCCAAGAGGGGCATCGTGGACTGAATCTTCCAGGGCTGAAGCACCGTGTTCTCTCTTTTCCCCAGTCTTCAGGGTATTAAGCTCCATTGGAAAAAAAAAAAAAAAAAGCAAAGTGGGCCAGGGATTTAATTTAGCTTAGTGGATCTGGCTCCTGTCTTGCAAGCACAAGGTCCCAAGTTCAATCCCTGGTCCCCTCCTGCAAAAAAAGCAAAGCATCTCAAAGACTAACTCAAGTGTATTAGTGACCTTTGAGGCTATCCACACTCAGAGTATTTCAATTTAGAAAGAAAACAGATAAAATAGAGTTAGGACTTTAGGGCATATGTCAGGTTTATGTGGCTACATGTGGATGGAGAGAATGACTCAGGGCAGGTTCCATTGCCTTCCGCAATTCTCACCATAACAATAGCTTCAATTTACTAAACACTGACTTTGTACTGGGCAGTTTAGTACATTGAATCATATTGAATTCTACTGCCCTGTAAAAGATGAGATCATTTTACCAATTAAGAAAACAATGCCAGGTGAGTCACATACCTTGCCTAAGATCACCTCCTAGAGAGCTACAATGTGCTTCCCTGGGAGTTTCACTCCACGATCCATTTAACTGAATATTCAAATGCACAAAAAAGCTAAAGAACTTTGGGATCAAGATAGACCCCATATCCAATAAGCATGATATTCCTGAACACAGGTGTTCTTTCAGCTCTTGGGAAACTGTTTCCCCTGTATTTGGCTTAGGTTTTTATGATCCTTCTTCCTGATGGAGAATAGACACACACTACTTGCAGACCCCCTTTCCCTGCCATGTACTCTGGGGGCCCTCACTTTCCCTATTGTCCCCAGACTCCAGCCTTAGTCGCATGCACTCATGGTTGGGAAAGTGATGAAAGTCCATTGGGAGCAGTGATGGACTATATAAGTCCCTACCCTTGAGGGAAAAGAGGTAACAAGACAAGTATTCACCTCTGCCTGATGTCTGCCAACACTGGGCACAGTGTCTGAGCTGATGGGGATAGCCTTGAACAGCAGCCCATGCTACCTTCTGTCTGTGACTTTCACCATTTTCCATGCCCTTTTCACAGTCCTGAGGGTCAGTGCCCATGTTTGCACTGCCAGTTTGACACCAGCTGTGGCGGGGACCAAGTGAGGCAGGTGGTTGCAGCTGCATCGAGGTGGTCCAGGTGCAAAGGAATCATGTTGAGTTCAAGGCAAGAAAGAGCTCTTGAGAATATCTTTTAGGTTTGGGGAGCCTTTGAATTTGAAGTATTCTCATGTTTCCCCTCTATCCATCAATCCATCCATCCTTGAGAAGTAGTAAGAATTTTTTTCATTGATAGTAGCTAGCGACTCACATTTGAATCACATAGCTTGTCTCTGGCTCTAAAACATGGTAGAGAAGGTCCATGAGTGTGGCATTACTCTGGCTAAAATGTTTAAAATGGCCAGAGGAGATATGCTTAATTGAGTTTTAAAATAGGCTGCTCATCCTCAGGTATTTGGCACTGCATGTAGATAACACTGAAAAAAGCAGTCAAGGTATTTTGAAGGATCTGCTCAGGAGGCCATGAAGGAGGATACATTATCCTTACTGGTGTCCACAGCTCTTCTTCTGACCACTCTAATTTGCAAGAGAGGAAAGGGTCATTCAGCCTAGTCTTGGGGAAGAGCTCTTCTCATGTGCCTACTGCTGATCTCTGCCATCACCTGCATTTCCTGAACAGGTCTTCTGGACCTCAGTCCAGCTTTATTTGAAACAGTGCAATGAAGCTAATTTATTCAGAGCCTATCAGCTTCTCCCTACACTGAAATACTCACTTATCTCCTTCTCCTGATGTTCCTCAATCCTTCTCTTCCTCAGCCCTCAAAGCACTTCCAGTTTTGTTCCCCTACCACTAGAGATAATGTTGGTGTGGTGTGTTCCCCTTTACCTTAAAGTACTCAGGGTCAGTTCCTATGGGCTGAGAACAGGAAGCACTTGCCTTAGAGCTGGGAACCAAGTTGTTCCATGTCCCCAAGGGTAGGTCTTCCCAGTACTACCCACCCTGGGAAAAGAGCCTTAAGTATTAGCCCTTATTCCCTCCTGTCAAGAGTGCAGGTGGAGGTGGGTCCTTTCAGGTCATTATTCATGGGGGTTTGGGGTGGTCACACAGTATCTGAAACACTGGGTTGGTGGAGAGCAGTTCCAGAGAGGATGGTGAGTGTGGCCTGGCAGAATGAAATCCCTCCCACCCCTCCCCTACCCACTCTCCCCACCTCGAACATTGGAAGGAGCTGGTGATGATGAGCAATGAGAAAGAACTCCAGGCACCTGTTGAGCTCCTTGCAGGTGTTGCCTTGGCCTCTCAGATCCCAGGGTAGGCCAAGGGCTCCAGCCAGAGAGTATCAGGAGAGGAGCAAGGTGCTTGCATGGTCTCCCTGCAAAGCCCAGGTAAGGTCCACTCCTGTGGGTGAGGAATCCCATGAGGCTTCACAAACAGCATTCATGGGTTTGCTGTGTGTAAAATGCCTGCGTGTGGTCTCATGTGGTCGCTTCACCACCTCTAGCTTCACCATCCCCATGTGGAGTTACTGTAAGGGGTCTCCTGTGCTCTTGAAGTGGGGCGCAGCCCTGCTGAAGGGGTGGGACAAGAGCCAGCAGCTAGACATTTGTTAATTCTATGGGGCACAGTAATTACCTATCAAAATCAGCTCTTCCTACCTGAGGAAAGATTTTAATTGTGCATTCAAACTTCAAAATTAACAGTCTAAATACAGCTTCTGGTGTGGTAGGAAAGATTAAACTGCTTATGATGTATAACTACTTTTTAATATAATGCCTCCAAAGAGGTGCTTAATAGCCCTTTTAAAATCATGGCAGCCAGATAAACCTTAGCTTATGTCAACATGCATATCTGGCAAGTTATCCGGAGGTTAGTGTCTTCTCCCTCCTTCAAAAGGTTATCTTCCCGATAGCTTACTTTGAATTTCAGTTGATTTCATTTCTTTCTAATAGAGAATAAATGGTAAGATGAAAGGCTATTGAACCCAGATAAAGCTGATTGCAGAAACAAGAAGTATATGTGTGTTGTCAAAACCTGTAGGTTATCTAAAATCCAAGTTTTAAGGGGCATAATTTTACCTCATCTCACTTCTAAAATCTCTTTTGGGAAAAGGGCGAGATGTGTAAATTGTTCCATAATTGATACAGAAAAATGTAACTTGCAAAGAGGGAAGAGGTTCTGATTCTCATGGTGAAAATTCAGAGAAGACCTGCCAGGGTACTGTGTACAGCTGCGATATGAAGCCTTATGTTTTGTCACTATCCTGGCTTTTCTCAGGAGTGTGAATCCAGGTGTTCTAGAGTTTTGTTTGTTTGCTGATTCTTAGATTTTGTGGTTGTGAGGAGCAGTGGGTTTGTTTGTTTGAAGCATAGTTATCATGGACACATGACTGTTGAAACCCACCAAATGGAGAATAGACTCATGCTTTAATTACATTTTTTTGTGGCCAGAGTAGAAGTATTGGCCTATGAGACAATATGTACACCTGTGTAAGTGGAGGTCACTACTGGGACTGTTCCAAATTGTTACTGGTTGGTAATGATGAAACAAATAGTTTATATCCAAATCATGCTATGTTTGACACAGTTTAATAATCACCGATAAATCAGCTGGAATACTAATCCTGTAGTAATAAGATCTGAGTGTACTTTCATCAGTCATAGGAATGAGCTAGACAATTGAAAAACTTATGCAGTGATCATTAGTGACTTCGCATTCACCTTCTAAGAAATGATCACTTAGTACTCTATACCCCCATATTAAACCTTCCAGAGGTCACCGCTGATCTGAGAGATACAGTCTCCTTACATATTATTTAGGGATAACACCTGACCCTTCACCTCCACAGGGTTAAGACTGTGTTTAGAAGAGTGAATATCCTGGAAGGAACCCGATTACCCAACATATTCCATAATCTACATGTCACCTTCAGTGATTTTAAAAGATAAAACTCATGTTCCCTTGACAGCACGAGGTACAATTATGGAAAACTTGGAAAGACTGAATAAAAAAATTGAGTCAGTCAAGACCAAGATTGATGATTAGGAAAAGAGGCTCTCCTGATTTAGAGCAGTACTTTTACACCAACCCGTCCCTCCCTAACTGACAGGAATGGGAAGCAAGATCTTCCTGAAGCCAGCCTAATTCCAAATGAAAAATAGCAGGAACCACCAAAGAACAAATACAATCCACCTAGAAAGTATTTGATGGATCACAAACATCTGGCAGTTGGTCCTGAATATGACCCCTTGCTTGATTATTCTCAACAGCTTCCTGTGGTATCAAAAGCAAGGCAACATTTCTGCCACCTGGAGAACTTTGTGAGCAAAAATCTCCACACATCCCTGGAGAGACCTTATGCTTCATCAATAGGTATTAAACT